TTCGTCCCAATCCAAATTGTCTTCCCACAACTGTTTGAGAAAGATTTTAGCCTTCAGTGTTACAGGGGATAATAACCCTAAGGGATCAAAAACGGATGATATAGTACTTAAAACTTGTCCTTTTGAAATAGGTTTGTTTCTGTCATTGTTAACAGGTTTTATGTGAAGATTGTCAAGATTGGTGTTCCATCTTAATCCAAGAACATTAACATCAGTAGTATTCTCAGTTGTAGTTTTTTCCATTGGTATTTGTGTCATTAGTGTCTTTGAGTTTGAAGACCAACATCTAAGGTTCATGTTAATATCAGAGAACAAACTAGAAGCAGTTGTAAATAGTGTTGTGGCCTCTTGATCTGTGTCACATCCGGTAACCACATTATCAACATAAAATGAAGACTTCAACCTTTCATTAAGATTATCAAGTTCACAATTTGACAAATGATGAAAAACAGTAGCACTGAGTAAAAATGGACTGGATATGATTCCAAACGGAACCCTACAAAATCGATACTCCTCAATATTATCCTTAGTAGGTGCTGACAAAGGATCTTTGAGCCACAGAAATCTAGTTACATCTCTATCTGGAGTTTGAAGATTTATTTGAAGGAATGCTTTCTCAATATCAGCAATAATTCCAATAGCATTCATTCTAAAACGTAAAAGTAAACTACATAGGTTTTCCAAAATTACAGGTCCACGGTAAAGACAATCATTAAGACTATTGTTGCCTTTTCTGGTTTTGGCAGACGCGTCATACACTATCCTAAGTTTAGTTGAGGTTTTCGACTCAGTGATAATAGGGTGATGAGGTATATAGTGAAGGACTCCATCGTTTCTGTCTGAAAAACTCACTCGTTCGATTATACCGTCTTTCAATTGGGTTTGAATTACCGAGTCGTATTCACATAGAAGATTATGTTTGTCTGAAAGTCTATCTGTTAAAGATTTCAAACGACCGAGAGAAAGATTGTAGTTTGTTGGTAAATTTGGAGGATAATCTTTCCAAGGCCAGGAAACTGAATAACGACCATTCTCAAATTTAACAGTTTCATTAAATTTATTCAATGCGATGTCATCATCTTTCACGTGTGGGTCATCCTTAATACCAATAGTCTCTAATTGCCACAAGTTTTTGATGTCATCACCTTCACAAATATTGATATCTGGCTTTAAGGTTTGTGGAGACCTAGGAAATAGGTTGTTGGGTTTTACTAGAGTAAGAAAAGATGACTCGTACATCAGAGGGAAATGATCATTGTTATCGTTATGCCTACCAGTTACGATCCAACCAAATTTGCTATTCACTAAGAATAAGCCTGGTGAAATTTCTATCTTCTGACCCTGAATGATATCAAAATAATAATCGTTCCCTATTAATAGATCAATATTTTGTGAAGTAAACTGGCCGTCTGCTAACTTTAATTTGGGATAGGAGGAAGCAATTGTATTTAAGTTGATATTGGTACTAGAAACTACCTTCCCAGTGATATGTGGAACAATGTTTACTATAATATCCATACATGTGTCATCGTTCAGCAGTAATCGAACATCTGTTACTTGAGTCTCAACAGTTTTAGATTCACGGTTGCCGAACGTAAATAAAGACAATGATTGACAATATTTACTATTCAAACTCAGTTTAGAAGCCAAACCTTTAGACACATAAGACCTCTGACTACCACTATCAAAAAGAACACCACAACGCGTTTCTTGTTTAGTATCAGCATTACGCAAAGTAATAGTTGCAGTTTGAAGAATAACACTCTCCGACATAGAAATTAAAGCAGACTCTTCGGTATTTATAGGTACCTTGCTCGGGTTGAAGTTACTTGCAGGCAAAGCTTTGGCATGATTAGTTGATCGGGTGTCTACTTTGATGGTGTTTCTAGAAATTTGGTCTGTAGGAAACTGTTTGGTACATAAGCTTCTATTGTGATTATTCTGCTGTTTACAGTAAACACACCTTTTATGTGATTTACAAAATTTCACAGTGTGTCCCTTACTTAAACATACGTAGCACCTACCTTGAATTGCTTTCTTACGTGCCTCAGCAGATTGATATTTTGTACATTGGTCATTCCAATGTGTTCCTTCACAAAAAATACAATTTAATTTATCGTTTCCCACGAGTGAGTGGGTAGTTGTCAACCTCTTAGTGTCCGCCTGTGGATTGGGAACAGTAACAAAACTATTAGAGTAAGATGAAGTGCTAGGTGTTGAGGTCGTCAGTTGCTCTGCTTTCTCCCGAATCGAAATTAAGTTATTTACAAATTTGCACAAAGTTTTAACATCCAATTCCCCAGAAATATTCATTTCTTCAACTTTCAAAACAATTTCATAGGGCAGCTTACTGAAAATTTGAGAAACAAAGTAGTTAGAAGTAACGTCTTCACCTAAGGCTTGAAGACAACGCATATGTTTCTCAATGTTGTCAAATCCTCGCCTTAGTGTTACCGTGTCACTGGACTTGATAGGTGGCATATCCCTCAAGGCACAGTAATGAGAATTCACTATTACCTGTTTCTTAGCAAATCTGTCTTTCAACAAGGTAATAGCAATATCATAGTTTAGATCTGTAATGGGGAGTCCAGCGATGCAACGTTTAGCGTCACCTTTTAATTGTGCAATCAAATAGTTAAATTTGTCAACGTTACTGAGTGTGGGGTGGCTATGAATGGCAGACTCAAAACTATCCCAAAACTCCTGCCACCGTAGCATGTCCCCTTGGAAGGTTGGTAATACCAACTTTGGTAGTTGAACATACTGGTGCTGTATAGTTGGTATTGGCTGAACGGTAGACGTATCAGGCACTGTTGCCTGTGACTTATTAGTTTGAGAAATATCTAGTCTTACCGTAAGCTGTGCAAGCACCTCCTCACAGTCCATCATAGTATTTATGAAGTCGTCCTCTGTGGTGGGTCCTTCAGTTTGTCCATCTTCAGTAATAGGCTCGGTGTCCAAACGTTTTTGAATTTCTTCCACTCTCTTTACAAAGCTTGTCAAAGTCCGTAGTCGTGTTTGAAGTTGTAGTTCTGTTAAGTCTGTAGTCTCCAAGAATGCATTTGTATCAGTAGTATAAGTCTTCAGTCGTAGTAAGGCAGATTTCAATCGAAGGTCCCATCTTGAAGTCATTCTTAGTTATTTGGGAAAGTGAAGTTCAAAGTTGGAAGTTGTAAAAATTTTGAGTAAAGAAGTTAAGTTTAGAAAGTTGTAAAAAGTTAAAGCAGGAAACCACGCTCTGCTACCATATTGTGATATCCGTGGATAAGTAAAGTTATGTTTGGTTTTCCTGCTTTAAATTAAGTTTTAAGTTAATAAATGTAGAATAAATAAAGAGTTAAAATTGTATCAACTTTCTTTCTTTAGTATTAGTTTATTTACAATCAATTATTTTCATGGAAACCAAAATTAAAAACCAGCTGTCTCAGCACAGATGGATAAATGAATTTGTAATACTTAAATGCTATGAGAAAGGAAGGAAACAGGCCAATGACGTAGTAAATGGTGAAGGAAGTAGTAAGGCTAACAGCGCAGAGTGTGGGAACTGTCTTTGGCAATTAAATTAATGTATCTGCAATCCTAAAATGCTATGGGAAGAGAGGGAAACAGGTCCACGACGTAGGGTGTGGTGAAGGAAGTAGTAAAGGTGAGCAGTGTTGAGTTTGGGAATGGATTAATGTATCTGCAATGCTAAAATGCTACGGGAAGAGACTGTAGACTGTAATATGTTAAAATGATTATGAAGCACAAATCGATACATATTTTCGATACATGCAATCGTTTACAATCGAAATTTACAACTGAGTTGACAACAGCTGAATTTTACTCCATAGAGGCTAAAAACGATTTTTACTCCCTAAATATTAAAAATGCTACTTTAGACCCGCAGCGCATGCATGAAAATAACCCCCGCCGCAGCAAACCTGCAGACTAAGCGAATTTCCGTTAACCTGATTGGATTTACACTAAAATGCCTCCATAAAAATAGCACATTTATTTCCTATTTAAATAGAATAAGTTTAACGAGTACTTAGGTTTGCTGCAACAGGGAAGATAAAAAAGATTTTTTTTGTAAATTGATAATAGTTTAGTAAGAAATAAAAGTATTTTCCAAAATCGATCAAAATATGTTCATAAACGAGCAAACTAAAACAGTTGACTTATTCTCCATAAGAATAACATGGGAATTTCAAAATTACAATTTTTTTGAATTTTCTCCGTAACAAATAGGCGTATAATAACGCTTCAATATACTAAATTATTGGTTTTTTAAGCTCTACAAAATGGTTTAAAAAGAAATTGTGAAATTTCGTGTTTTTAGGGTCAAAAATGGGAAAAACCTATTTTTACCCCATAAAACCCCCCATAAACCCCCGTTCCCATAGTCCGATCATGCTGGTTCGCGAACTCATTCAAGTTTATCCCGCCTTACACCTTCAAACCAAATTTTATCAAAATCGGACAAAAATTACTCAAGTTATCGTGCGGATGGACACATATATATATATATATATATATTTTGTTATTGTATACCTCAATGAGGGCTACTTTAAATGTTACTAAGCAAATCAAAATACCACAGTACCCTAAAAACATTTTATTTTTAATTGCGTTAAAATAAAATGTTTTTAGGGTACTGTGGTATTTTGATTTGCTTAGTAATATATATATATATATATATCTATATATAGATATATAAAAATTTGAACGAATGGTGTTTTTGGCCTCTGGGGACATCAAAATGAAAAAGTAAATCGGTCCCGGGCTTAGGTCTTACCATGAGACCTACGGTAATAGCTACTTCCCTATAGGGAAATTCGCTAAAATACTGTTTTTACTGCAGTAAGACAAAAACAATATAATATGAACCCTTGATGACTCCGCTCAATTTTGTGGATGCCTCTGCGAACGCCACCTAGTTAATTTCACACAGTATAGATGTGCATTTTTATAAATGCATACTATAAATATATTGAATATTCCATGTTCAATCTTTTTAGTGTTCAACAAGACGATATCGGCGCTCACATCAATGTTGGAAGAACTTACAACCATCTCAAGATGTTCAAAGAAGCTGAGGATGCCTACCTGAAGGTAATTCTTTTACAGTTTTTAGTTTGAAGTATGATTTTTAAAGCCAGAAAAAACTCTAGTTGAAACCTAATATCTGTGTTTGTTTGAGTTAAGATAGTTTATGCACATTTTCCTGAATTTAGTGATTACATACATAAATTATGACATAAGCATCCAGGTTCTTTACAAACCTTGAAATATCTTCATCCTAGTATCTTCACCTTGTTCTTACAAGTGTTAATTAAACAATGAGTCTTTATTTTCATTACGTATACATAATCCTAATTCAGAAGCTATATAGCATGGTACACGTTGATGCAGTTTTCATAATTTTTAAATTGACCGTAAAAATGTATTTTTTTATAACTTTCAATACAATGCACCCGATTTGCTATTAATTAAATTGAATAAAATCCATATAAACTGAACTGGTTCTTGTACATTTTACGGTAGCTATAATGTTGAATAACAATATAAAACATAGTGTTATTTGAACAATAAAACTTGTATCGATGGATCTTAAATGGTTCTTAAATCAGATAGTATTTACCTATGATCCTTTACACAAAAACAAAACGAAATGAATCCAAACATTTGTAATTTTAGGTGAATTTAAGATCCCATCGTCTTTCAAATCTTTAGCTACATCATTTTCTGGCTAGATAATATACGAAGTGACAAATAATTTGACAATCTTTACACCGTATGGTAGATTATATGAGTCCATATTCCTTCCAGGCCAAATCGCTGTTGCCCAAAGCCAAGCCAGGCGAGTCCTACCAAGCCCGCATCGCCCCAAACCATCTCAACGTGTTTTTGAACCTCGCCAACCTGATTGCCAAGAACGAGACGAGGCTAGAGGAGGCCGACTTGCTGTACAGACAAGCCATCAGTATGAGAGCGGACTACACCCAGGCCTACATCAACCGTGGAGATGTTCTGCTCAAGCTGAACCGCACCAAGGAGGCACAACAGGTGTACGAGCGGGCGCTTTTCTATGACAGCAACAACCCTGACATATACTATAACGTGAGTCATAGCAATATACAGTATCTATGTATCAATGTAGTCATAGCAGTATCTACGTGAGAAATAATCATTGATCTACACTTTGTAAGTAGTAGGAAAACGGGGATTCTGGTCAGCAAGTGACGTCACGATGGAAGTGAGGTTATGTCCGGAAACGTGATGATTGAGGAGTGGTGACGTCGTGTTAGTGTAAATAGGGAATTTTGGGATAAATCGACTTGGTTACGTTATAATGGGACACAATTATATTACGTTGAATGCTGGCCGAAAATATTAGTCTGTGTGAGGTAAAAACATTGGTTATCTACTTAGTAAAAGTAGTGGGGAAACAAGGCTTCTGGCTTACAATTGACGTGGAATTGCAATGGAAGTGAGGTTATGCCTAGAAACGACTAATAAAGCATATGGAATGATGACGTCATATAGGTTAAAATGATGAAATTACGGCCGTGGTAACGTCATTGATTGATATACAATGTAATTATATTACGTCACTTGCCCCAATGTAGTCTGTGAACGTGGTAAACAGGACTTCTAGCGACAACAGTGAGTAATAGCTGGTGCTGACCCTTGCATCATGGCGCGAACCGTGAAGAAAATAGTGCTGCCGTGTAATTGTGCATACAAGTTTTGATTCTCTTGAACTCTTAACCTCAGGTGTTCAAGGGATCTGTTAAGTTTTAAGGCTTAGTTCTGTAGTTTAGCCACGTGAAGTAACTAAAGTAAACCTGTAGGTACCTGAGAAGTACCTTAGTGGGTTTCGTCTGCACGTTGTACAGTGTTTTGTTAACATATGTCCTAAATGTAGATGAGTTGTACGGTTAAAGTAAAACAGATTATCTGCATCACCCTCGATAGAAAATGTCTACCTCAAAACCTAGGCAGCTGTAACCAGGGTCAAATATAAATTCTCATTAATCCAAAAAGCATGAAGGATCAGCAACCTTAGGAGTGTTAAATTTAAAGACTGGATTTCTACATGATATAAAGACAAAACACATACAACTAAAATAAATTTCACTGGATATATAGTACTAATGTATGTAAATTGCAGTAATTTTCGCTGTATTCTATGCCTAAGAAATGAACCAAATTGAGGTACAACTTGTTAAGATATATTTTATTATTTTCTCGCCCATTAAAATTACTTGATTAAGAAAAAAGCAGTATACACTTTGTACAGTTGACACCTTTTTTATTTCTAAAACGATTAAAATATATTTTCGATTGTTGGAAACTTAAAGTTAAACATAACTAATTGAACGGGAGACGCAAAAATAGAGAAAAAGACACTGTCTTCCCTCCTACCCTTAAGGACAGGACATTAAATTAAAGAGCAAAAAGAGTTAATTACAGTAAATACCAGTTAAAGTGAATTAAAACAATTAGAAGTTAACAAAACTAAAATTAATTAACGATAGGTACTGCACAGAGTTTCATTGTATTTGCAGTCAACCTGAAAACAAATATACATTATTTAATTCTGTTGTTGGAAACTTTTCCATTTCAAAGTTTCTCATTAGAACAAAAATGCAGCGAATAACCAGTTTAAAAAGTTCATTTCCTCTTGTTGAATATTTTGCCAGATGCGTTGTTTTTCGTCCGAATTTAACTTGTATATAATGTATAAAAATAACATGGGTTTAACAACTGGGAGATTATAAATTAGGTTTAGTCCTTGCAAAAATTTACATTTATTTTTTTAACAACTTCAATTGTTTTTCATCCAAATTTAACTTGTATATTATGTCTGCATGAATGAATCTGAGAATTTAAAAATAATTTCGGTTTAACAACTGGGAAATTTATATTAGGTTTAGTCTATGCAGAAATTCCCATTGATTTTTTTTTACAACTTCCATACAATTTTTATAAATAAACAAAAAATTCACTGTGCAAGTATCTTAAAATGAGGTATTTTTATCTTTTGTTGTATAACTTAATACTCTATTAGGTCAATGTACTAAGTAGAAAAAGAATAATTAGAAACTCATCACCTCAACTCTTACTATTAAAAGGGTTCTATTTATATGAGGTATATATTAATGCATCAAAAAAGCATTTACTTCCCTATTTATAACATAAAGCCCAGACACTTAAGATACAACCCCCCCCCCTCTCACTCCTTAAGGTCTGCCAACAGCACACCTAAGTGAAATGTTTTGGTGGAGAATTCCCTGGGAAATATTCCCTCAGTTTTTGCAAAGAAACAATTCTAGTGGTTTAGGTATTTTTATATAGAAACACTTAACAGTTTTTTTTATGTTTGATATAAAACCTTAAAAGATATGCCAATAAAATGGTAGAGTCAACAACCAAGCAAATATCATTAAGATATGTAAATATTATTCTTGTAATACAAATATTACAAGAATAAATTTATTGCTAATAATTGTTTCTTTTATTTTCATTATTGATTGTAAATATGAGGTCAACAAATTTAATGTATACTGATCCTAATCAGAATTTCTTGTACAATGCGTGTATTTCTGGGTTTGCACGTCCACGATTTTGACAAAAACATCCAATATGAATCCAATCTCGACCTACAATAAGTGTCTACATGTATCTGTGTGTAAGAAGTTGTTTTACAGAACTTTGAAAAAAACAGCACAATGCAATTGAAAACTATTTCCAATATTGCCAAACGTAGGTTAGGGTTATTTTGTCTAATGTGAAGAGTTAAATTTTCATGAGTTATTTTCGAGTACAGATATTCTCATATAAAGACAGTGTAAAAAGTTCTTCATTTTAAATTCCTACTTTAAGTTCTCGCACATGTAATCCATCATTCTCGGAAAAAACAAAAGAAGAATATAATGGATAGGAGTATAGAGTACGATGTTTTATTCTTCTTCTCCATGAATTTTAAAATACATTTTCCAATGCATAATTAAACAAACGTTCAGGTTCCAGGATTACGGTCTTTTAGTTTGAAGTGTTTTGCATCATAATTTCTTAGAAAGTTTTCAAATGCTTCCTTAATTAACGGTCAGAGAATTGACGAATAAAGAACTGTGGAAAAAGAAAGTACAATGTTTTATTTATCTTCTCCATATATTTTTAAGGTGCTTTATTTATAGATGTTTCGCTACTAGAACTTAATTTTTGTGTGTTTTGTAATCCACAATTTCTTTGGATGGTTTTATCACCAACCTTTCGTACCCATTCACCGGCAGGAAAAGAAGGATGCAAAGAATTCAAAAGATGCATATGATAAATTCTTATTTATAAACTAAATCGGGAATGTGAGCTATCATCACACCAAATTTCAGCACAATCCGATCAGTATTTTCGCGATTACTTGTCACAAACATCCATCCATCCATTCATAAATCTTAACTTTCTCACTTATAAAATTGTAGGATTTATTTATTTTATTTATTAATTTATTTTTCCATGTTTCATTGAAAATGAAATACCAGAACTACAATCGTTTAATGTTAGGTCCTGTCCACCATCCCTCTTGAAAGTTTTCCTAAAAACTTCCTTGATTTTTGGTCACATAGAAGACGGATATAAAAAATGTACAGAATTGTGTCGTCTTATTTATTTCCTCTCTGGCCGATTCTGGAACCGACTATAATTTGCCGATAGACTAACATTTCGGTCGTTTTCTTACTAAATACTTTAGTAGCGTTTAGACACACTGATTAAAAACTAACCAACCTCTAACTGTATCTATTCGTTGTAGTTGGGAGTGGTGTTCCTGGAGCAAGGTAAAGCCTCACAAGCGTTGGCCTATCTTGATAAAGCTCTGGAGTTTGATCCCGAGCATGAACAGGCGCTTCTCAACTCAGCCATATTGCTGCAGGAGCTCGGCCGAGCTGAGCTGCGGAAAGTAGCTCGCGAGCGACTTCTCAAACTGCTTCACAAGGTAAACAATTTACGTCTTGGCTAGATTATTTATATATAAAAAATATATATTTTGGGTGGATATTCCTTGTGTATGCTTTAACAGTTTTGAATGAATAGTAATTATGTATAATTAAGGTGTTGTAATATATTGGTAAAGTTGAGTCGCGCTCATATAATTGTAGTAGTAAAATTTAACCAAGTCATCTCCTGAGCTTAGCAATGGAAAGGTATGGATTTAACAATTTCCCTTGCCTATCTGGGGTTATTTAAGGTATAGCGAATTGTTTGGAGTGTGGTTGTTGAATTGGGTTTATTATCATTAAAAAACAATGTATTCAATGCGGAATCGTATAAAGCATCTTGGCAATATAAAGAGGTTATTTTATCGAAGGGCTTTTTATCGATGTTCTATCATTCAAGGTTATAGACAAATAGTAAACCTCTGATTTTTTTTCGTAAGGAACACAATTTTTACGAAATAACGTTCACTACGTTTATTTTGTGTTATCTCCGGGACAATTTTAGCGTATTATTAAATCTATAATTGTTTTTAAAATGTTGAAACCTTTTGCCCATAACTTGTTTATACAAATTTGTTCATAATTATAAAAACATGTCAAAATTATAGTTTAAGCAAAAACAACAATTTATGCATAAAATGAGTTTTAATATTTATATAACGAATTTAGAGAAAATATTCTCTCTGAAATTGTTGAGTATTTGATAAGTTTAAAAGTGGAAGTTACATTTTAAGAGGCTCAACGTAATGCGATACAAGTACCACACATTCATAGAGTTTAAATTCTCCCTGAATTGGTAGAAAAAGTTTGTTTGTTGTCGGGTCGAGCGTTCAAAGTGTTTATTGACTCATCTCTTTGTTTGATTCCAGTAAAGCATGAAAGGTCGGGCAAGGTTTTAGCCAAGAGTCCATCAAAGTGGAAATCCCTTTTTGTAATTTGCCTTGGTCCTCTTTTCGGGTCAGTTGTCATTTTTAAAAGTTCGACCAATCTCATTATTGAAACTGTATGATTTGCAACCGGTTTTATATTAGTGAAAAAGGGTTTACTTTGTTCATAAAGTTTCATTCAACACAATTCTACTGATTGGTGTAATTTAGGAGTGGAATGATTAAATTTTGATTAAGTTCTTTCGACATATAATTTTACATCCTTATATGTTCATACTTAATGCATAACGTGAGTTTAAATAGGTAAAATTTATGTTTTAGGAAATGTAACGTTTGCTTTTTTTCATTACAGTGAGACAAATTTAATAAGTGAGCCAACGTGAAAGTAGACTACAACCGTTGATTTTTACCTCATATAAATAAACCAATTAGATTGTTACTGATAGCTTATTGACTACTGGAACTTAGTCAATATAAGTCATATCGCGTGTTCGCGGCGCTATCGTGAACGTGTTCCGCTATCACGACGCCATCGCCATTGTAAGGCAGTATCTCCATAACATTGCCATAGTAAACATCTCGAACGATGACGGAAAATATCATAACCCTTTGTCACAATTTCAGAAAATCGTGGACATCTTATGTGATTGTAGCGAGATTGTTAACACATTCCGCGATCATGGCACGACCGTGAATATGATCAGGAATCACGGCGCCATCGAAAATATAAGGCACGTCATATTCGTGAATATCTCTCGCGGTAATGGGTAAATCAACGTCATCTCCTGGGCGATCCCAAATGAAATCGATGATGAACTGACCATCATCGAGTAGCAAATTTCCGACGGTTGGAGCAAATCCCATATCGAGAAAATGTTTCATTAAATCTAAACATGTACTAAAGATCGGAAATATGTCAGACATTTCTCGTAATTTCGGGACCCTTGGGTTCATAGCCGTTTGTACCTGGAGGGTCACTGGTTTGAAATCCTTATAAATCCGTAAAGTTTTTGAAGGTTTTAAGTTAATTAAACACAGCATTCATTTGTCATTGAGATTTTGATAAAATGGTCCCAACTTCAGAAACAGCTTAAAAAAACTGTTACTGATGTATTGATTTTTTTTTTCACATCTTGCTCAACTTGCCGCAGGACACCAACAACGAGAGGGTTCACTTCAACCTGGGCATGCTCGCCATGGACGACCGCGACACCGCCGGGGCCGAGCATTGGTTCCGTCGAGCCGTGGAACTCAAGGACGACTTTCGCTCGGCTCTGTTCAACCTGGCGCTGCTATTGGCTGACGACCACAGACCCCTGGAGGCGGCCCCCTTCCTCAACCAGCTGGTGCGCTTCCACCCGGACCACGTCAAGGGGCTCATCCTGCTCGGCGACATCTACATCAACAACATCAAGGATCTGGACGCTGCAGAGAATGTGAGTCAAATTATCATCAAACAACTGAACACAATAAACAGTCCTTTTATTGATTTTTCTAACTACTAGAACCTTGCCGTCTTTGTTAGAGGTCGGGTCTTTCGAGGTCCGAAGTCCCGGGTTCAAATCTAGTCCCGGGTTAACTATGTGATAATTCCTCGACCCTCTAGGACTAGCCTGAAGTAATGTGTAAACAGTTTCGGGATAGGACCTATCGTCCTAGGATATGCAGGTGGGGCATAAAAACCCTTCCCGTCTTTACTGTTCAAACACTAGTCACTGATGATTGTGTAGATTTTGAAGCATAAAACTGCATCGTCTGACCGAGCCAGGATACAAACTTAATTTTGTTGGGTAACCATATCGAAATATCACATAGCAATTTTGACAAAACATTACTATAAATAAGTAATATTAAAATATAATGTGTGCCAACTGGTTGCAGACTTCCTAAAATGGAATTTTCAACTCCAAAAATAAGTTTCTTTATGTAACGAAAATTTTTCTCAGTCTATCTATTTCTTCTACACCATTTCTTAGAACTTTCCTAATTTTTTGTGGTATGTGGGTTTTTTTCATAGCAAAAAGCTTTACCTGAAACAATTGGAGAAAGAACTATAACTTTAAAAAAATTTGCTAAAATGATACTAAATCACAATGGAATCAAAAAGATTCATAAAGGTAGAGCTCGGGGCTTCGAAGTCCGAGGTCACGGGTTCAAATACAGCGAATCACCAATTGATAGTGTTTGAAGTTATCTTTGAAACAGTTCTGAGCTAGAAACGTTTTTGGATGTGGAGGTGTGACATTTAATCACCAAAACTAGTATTTTGGAACAGTAATGTGATTCTGTTCTTTCAGTGCTACAAACGCATCCTGGAGTTGGAGCCCGACAACATCCAAGGCCTCCACAATCTCTGCGTCGTCTACGTAGAGAGAGGCAACCTGCTGAAGGCGGAGACTTGCCTGAAGCAGGCTCATCGTCTGGCTCCGTCCGAAGACTACGTACTCCGCCATCTCAAAATCGTACAAAGCAGAGTGGCCAAACTGAGAGTGGACGAGCATTCTGTACAAGGACAGGTGTGTCTTCTCGACATTAGTTAATCCATTCACAAAATTTAGGCGGTTTGAGGCGATTTTTTCCTGGTTTGTCCACTACTTTTTTAGTGTATGTTACTACCGATTGACGGTTTGAGCTGACATCTTTATACTTTTCCAGCTGTTGTTTCGCAAGTAAAGAATGTCGGAGGGAATCATTATTCGATATATCGTTTGGTTAGTTAGGTTAGGTTAACCTTACTTAACTAACCAAACTATATATCGAATAATCGATACATTGATCAATATTCTTATTCGGTTGTTTGTGCCAACAGATACGGAAGTCTACCCGTAAAAATACATATCATTTTTGTAGTATTCAAAATTGATGATGCATAAATTGATGAATGAATGAATTAATTAAATTAATGAATTCACACTGAAATTCATCTAAATTTATTTTCAGAAATTTAACCTGTCAAAGTTTATTTACGTCTTAAATAAGTTTCTGAATGGCAAATAATCTCTTTCTCAGTTATAATTAATGGAACTTCAATAACAAGATAACAAGTGTCATTTCCTAATACCCCTGATGTTCTAATACCCTTCAATATGTCATTGCAACCTCAAAAAAGGCCAACCTTGATAACAATGCTTATTTGATAATATCCTGAGGCTTTTTAAGGAGGTTTTACTGGACTAGCCACTGAACTGCAATAAATACGTATATAGATTTGCAAATACATAGGAGGGTTCCACCTGCCGGCTGGTTACCGCTTAAACATAGTCCTACAAAACAAGAACCTCGTGGCATTATTAAAGTGTTTATCGAGTTGAAACAAACTGTACAATATTCTCAGTGATCCAAAATATGCACTGGATGAACTGAAATTTTAAAATTGTTTTTTATTCACAAAATCATTTTGAAAATCCGTAAATTAGTCATTTTCACATGTTATTTTGACTTCTAATTAATAGTTAAACATCAATGTTTTCCCCATCCATTGCAAGCTCTGATATGTTAAGAGCACAAAAAACACACAATCAATGGAAACAAATTAGGGTTAGAATGTTGAGAGCCTGTACAATCCCAAGCTCTGAGACATGTTCAATCCCAAATTCTATTTAAATCCATATAATCCGCCATCTTGAATTGAAATTCAGGCTGCCGGGTAGAACACACTTAATCACAGTATTGCTAATGCAGTAGCAATTTTAAACTTTTTGCAATGAATGTCAACGTGTTTGGAATAAATAACACAATATGGATGTTATTTTTTTCGTAATCAGCTGATTTGTGTCATCTGTTCCCCAGGAGCCTCTAGAGGAGCCAGACCACAGACCACCGCCTCCAGCTGATCCCCCTGCTCCGGAGACTGTCTACTCCAGAGGCCCAGGAGTCCCTCCACCAACCCCCTCTCTGTCTTAGCGGTTAACTATGTTCCCCCTCCCCCACCCGACTCTGTAATCACTCACCCAATACAAAACTAGCATTTTATAAATAAAATAAAAACAATTATCGATTTTTGGAACATAAGTGCATAAGTAAGACGGTGCTGCGTTCTTTTTAGTTAACCCCTCCAGAATTGTTTTTTACATTAATCCTTTTTTTAAAGACTTTGCATTATTACTAAGACGGTGCTGCTTATAATTTTAGCGAATTGGCTATTTTTTGTAAAATATTTAATTGTTAACATAAATCGCGTTTTTATTTAAAACTACAGTTCACAAAAGAGACATAGCTAAACCATATGTTTTTACAGACAGTAAAATATTAGCGATAATAACTCTTGGAGAAAAATGAAGGATTTAAGTTATTAGGATAAAGGATTTAAGTAATTGGTTTATTTATGACAAATTTAAAATACTCTCCAGAAAATTAAAATTGTACAAAAAAGTATAGTGCAGGTCAACATTTTGTAAAAAACATGATTTCTAAATGTGATTGCCATTGACCCAAAATACATAATTTTAATTTTAATAACCCTTAAAGATAAAAATATAGTATCCTTCCTTGTTTGTATTTTAAATTTTCCAAAAAGTTATCAATTGAATCTAATCAGTTAATTTACCGAGAGGACAGAACATTAGAGTTTACGTTACAATTATTAAATTCTTGGGAAATTTTACAAATTAATAAATCATACCACTTCATTGCAATCATTTACTTAATTTATTTATCAATAATTTTAATTTTCTTCCCGTTACATTTATATATTTTTTTGATCTGGAACAAACTTTATAATCACTAGATTCATTCTTTGAAGTACTAAACAGTTTACATAAGACATAAACTTGTGCCTTCCAATGTTACTTAATTTTTTTCACATTCTTTCTTGAGCTTTTACGGTTTTTATAAAAGTACTTCTATTTAACTATTGGGTGAGTGGTTTTCTAGACTGTTTCTATTGTTGTATATTGTGAATATAGTGTGATTCATGTTTTGGTACGGTGATTGCTGTTGTCTCTGTGTTTCCTTAAATTTAGTTTATAAATTAATTAGTTGTAGAAAAAGCTAAGTCATTGTATTTTTCTATGGATTTTTAACGTCTAAAAATAATTTTTATGTTTTATTTTTATATTTTTAAAATAAAAGTATTGACGATTACTCTGTGATAAGCACTTTATTTTATCAGTTAATTTATTTTTACTACTTATTATATTTACATTTAATTCTGTACTAAGCTAAAATGCATTTATAAATTTTCAGTTGTAATATCGAAACAAATTTGATGTACAAATTTATTAGCAAATCATTACACTTACAACTTTGCAAATTGCTGAAACCGTGAAAGACTTAAGTAACCTAAGTAAGTATTTGAACAAGTATACCTAAAATCGAAATATGACAGCAGAAATAAGTAGTTAGGGATTTGTAGTTCATTTAATTTTAAAATATAAAAATCAATTGGACAAGTAGTGTTTGAAAATCAAGACAATAACATTCATTTGCTGGAGGAAATATCAACATTATAATTTTACGTAACAGTTCCAGAACTATAGGACTTTAAATTTGAAGAAGACTTTTACAATTAATAAATTCCTCCAATGTTATTTTACTTTGTATGATAAAATCTCGACTATTCCTTCCCGCTCAAACTTTAAAGAAGTACAAATACGCAATGGTTATATTTGCTGGCAAAAATCTTTTTTTTGTACAACATACATTGTGTTTTTGATATTTTTTCCAGTTAAGTAACATTTGTATTTTATTGCAATTACACTAGTTTGAAAACTGTTGTGTAACCATTTTACCCGAATCGGTTCGTATGAAGTGTAAAGATACTGGTGCCTTGTACATTCCATTTCTAACAGACAAGATTTATATGTACGCAAACACTCGAAGATATTTTTCTATGTTGTTGTATATAAATGTTAGGTAGAACTATGTGTATAGCAGTAGGTGGCATAGTGTTTTATAAGTATGAATGTCGTTCCCCGGCATAGATGTTTTGTTGTAGTTAGAACTGTATTCAGTAAATATTTTTAACAGAGAAAGTATTGACGTTTGAACAAAGAGAAGATGTTTAAGGTTGGTTGGAAGAATTTTATATTTATAAAAATATATAGCTCTAATTAGTATGCTTACAAGAGGCTTTTAAAAGTTTATTTTATGTATCTAAAATGTATTGAAAATGGCGATGAATATACAGTTTTAAGTTTAAATTTTGAAACACCATTATGATGTTTAAACTATTTAAACTCACAAATCAGTATTATTTTGTCATCAATATATTTTTAGTCAACTGTTTGGACAGTTTATTATCAATAATGTAATCAACAACAATCATTTTGTAACTATCAATTTGTTTATCTTTGTTGTTTTATTAGAGTTTTACTAACTGTTTGACTTTATCTTCATTACACACTAAATAAACAATTTATTGCAGACAGAACTGACATAACTTAAAACTTCTTTATGATAAACATAAAAGCTTACAGTCAGCTGTGACAATCCTTCCATTGAAGACAATGTTAGAACTGTTTATTGTACAGAAAATAAAATGTCGTACTTTACCTCTATGTGTTCGATTCTTGCCTTTGTATTCAGTAGAAATTATAACCAGTTGGTATAATTTAAGGTATTACAACATTTTTATGAGCCGTAGTACCCCCACTAAATTTAACATTTTTAACATCTCTGGAACATTGTAATGCATATTACTTCTTTAGAAACATTTAACTATTTATACAGTTTCAAAAAAGAAATAGGATTAAAGTAATGACTAAAGTAGGCATGCAATATGAACAAAAGTAATTTTACCTCCACCCAAAAGGTTTTATCAATGTTACCTATGGATTGGCTAACCAGTTAATTGGTAGTGCAGTAGCAAGGTAAATAATGTGGAGCTATATGTCATTGGAACGTTTAAAACATCAGATTTTTCTTCTTATGAGAGTTTTAGCAACTATTTACATTACTTACCTTGCAACTGCACTACCAATTAACTGATTATTTATTTTAGCCAAACCATAGGTAACATTGAAGTAACTTTTGCTATTTTACTGGCCATATATTATATTATTAAAGTAATAATAATGGAAGAACGAAAGATGACCCTTAATTTTGATTTTGGCATTTAAGAAATTGAATCTTAAAAATTTCCCCGACACTAATATTTTAAATGGTTTTGGTATAATACTCTTTACTGAATTTTTCTTTACTGAAGTTTACTAATGCTTGCTATAACTGCTGCAGCTATTTAGCATTTGTGATAGAAATTCAGCATTTTAAAGATCACTTGTGTAATAATACTTCATGCATATTTATTTAGCCATAATCATCAGTACAAACTGACTAAACAATATGCGAGAACCTATTGGCAGTTAGACTTGAGGTATTCAATTAGTGGGTGTAGAATGTGTATTGGAGAGGGTTGTACAATTCCAGAGCATTAGTAGCAACTATCAAGTGTCAAGTGGTGTAATGTACAAGCAGCCTAATTCCTGAGTTGCATGACTGTTCAGTTCTGTGGTTAATCACATCAACATTACTGGTCCATTACAAACAGGTTGGCTTGTAGCACAAGGTGATCATAGTTCACCGTTCATCGTTCACCATCCACCGATCACCATTCATCGTTCACCGTCCATCGTTCACCATTCAACGATCATCATTCATCGTTCACCGTTCATTGTTCACCATTCATCGTTCACCGTTCACCATTCCACGTAGTAATCACAGTCCGTTAACAAAATAGGGAGTTTTGAGGGTTTCCCAACAACTTTTTTCGCCGGTTGTTGCAGCTGATCGGGTGGAAAAAAACCTTTTCATCATACTGTCCGGAAAGCAGCATTTTTTAGTTCCCTAAATCGTTAGACAAATTTTTGTTTTTGGGTAACTTCAAATAGGGAACAGGAAAAATATATGGTAATTTTTTCGGTTCGCTAACCTCAAAATTGTATCAGTACAATATGCTCTGCTTTTCACCATAGAGAAAATGGATTATAACTTTATTTAAAGTTATGTTTCTAAACAACAGAAATGTAAACATTGATGACATCTTAGTATAACCTCAAATTATGTGGTCTAACGCTTAGAAGGTTATTTCCATAGTATGATTAAAATAGTTGTTCACCAGACGGAGCAAATGTGTCTTTCTGGTACTTAAAAAAAAACAAAATACATAACATTATTAGATTAGCAAAAACATTATTAGATTAATTTTATATGTTATTAATGTACTTAATTCTTTTTCTATTGCGTACCAAAAAGAGTCATTTTCGCTCCTAGTGCTGAAAACTACTATTGTTTATACTCACTCACTTGTACCTACTATTTTATTTATTGTTTGAATTTTGCTTTCATCAACCAGAAATTATCGGATAAGTTTAAAATCCAAGCAAGTATATAGTGTACAGAAGATATATATCGCAACAGCCCAGGTGCTAGTGTACTCACCGTTTAAGATTCAAGAAAACCAAAGCAGTTTGATAATGAAGAAAATGCGGAGGAACTATTTCCGACATTGCAGAAAAAGAATGAAGCAAATCAAAAAGTGGTTCCCAAAATACTTAGAAGTAGCTCTTATACATATCACTAAGAAAGGTTAGGTTTAAATGAACAACTTTAACAAAATCCAATGGGATGATTTTGCAAAACTGATCGTATGATGATTACGGCTTTAATAGATTGATACTTGTACTAGCTGCTGTTCCCATCCTTCGCAACGGAAGAAATATCTGTTTCATAATCATTGAAATAGATTTAGAATAAATAATCTATAAATACAGTTTTAGATTAAACTAGCTGTGTGCCCGTTCTATGCACTTACATCTTATAGAAGTCAATAGAATGTGACACAAATCACACAATGTTGGGTTTTTAGTCATTTGTAATTTTATTTCTTAAGTAGGTAGGCCATGTATTCTATGGAAAAGTACCGGTATCAAGGATCGTCGTCGAAAAGGTTCTTATGAATAAATAGGTACGTACCCAAGAGATAGGCTATGGGCCTATTGGCTGTATGGTCCAGCGATTGCATCACACGGTGAGTAGAAACAGAAAGTGATACATTGGAAAAGCGAGTTTAGCATCATCCGTAAACCTCTGTTACAATCACCCACTGCAGTTGTGATTTTTTTACTTCACACTTTACACAATCGCCATTGAAGCGCCGTCAATGAGTGGAAACCTTGTTTATAAGCTATTGGCGACGATCATTAAGTGTCCCAGCCCTATACAACACTGATTCAAGGTCTTCTTTCATGTTATCAAAACTCAAGAACAATTTTATACACAAAGAATATCTGGTTCCTGACCTGGATGATGCCTAGTAATTTAATTTCATTTACGGTTACACTATAATATTGCACTTCCGATTAATTAAATCCGTTATGTAAGAAAAACATTGTTAATCTTACTTGGTTGGGATTTGCTTTCAAAACGTGATCGGAAATGGTTGCGGTATTTGTAAACATATCAGTGACAGCTAGAAAAAATAATCTTGATCCGGACAGCTGTTCGTTATTTCATAGATGATTATGTGATAAAAATTGAACGAAAATTTTACAAAAATCGCACAAAACTGCATTTTTGAACGTCTGTAATTTTATTTACAAAGTAGTGAGGCCATATTTTAATGGCTAAAGACACTCTCGCCAATCCAGTGAATACATTAAAATGACTTGGATCTTGATAGGTACTCTCGTTTTCATGGAGAAGATTGCGTAAAATGCCATCTTGAGTGTTACAGACGGACAGACAGACAGAAATAGAGATGAGACTTGTTTCTGCTTCTTTAATGTATAAAACGTAAAAATAACCTAAAAATATATAATTCTGAGCAATGTATAGACAAAACTCTAATTTTATTTATATAGATAATCCTACCCCATAGTTGTGTAAAATATATTTAATTTCTTTGGATCAGCTTTCTGAAATTGTGAAATAAGAATTTGGCAGTTCTTCTTGTTTACATTGAAATGTCAAAGCAAAGATAAACATAAGGAGTTTTCTTATTCTGCCATGGAGACCAATCAATATTTATTTTTGAAAACCTTAATTTACCTCAAAACTTTGGAGATCCATAGGGCGAAGCCAATGTGAATAGTGCCAATAGGCCTATTACGTTCCTAGGTATATGGACCACTTTTGTGGTTAATTTTGGCTGTATCGGTTTAGTATTTTATTCGCTACAGCCGCACAGACAGATAGACATACACCACCTCAATTTTATAATTGTATAGATGGATTAATTATTTATAATCAATATTCTATGCATACTGTGTACTAGCAGCCGGCGTCATTTCCTGACTTCAAAATCCGTGATATATATATATATGAAATGATTTACTTTTTTCTATTGCTCTCTTATAGGAAACTTAAAAAAATAAAAATACTAATGAAACGTACTATGAAAACTCAAAATGTAACGTAAGTAAATTTCTTCTTTACATTTTATACAAATAACATTACAATATTTGACTTGAAGTCACTCCGAATACTTGTCGTATAATTCACTAAAACATTACCAACTGTAACGATAACACCATTTTCGTATCTATGTAAACAAAATTGTTACATGGCCATATGTTTTTATGCAAACAAATGTAAACTTGAAACAAGTTCAGATGATTGGCAACAGAATTAAGCACAAACTCTGAAATATTTAAAACCTAGGACGAAGGGCTTTCACGGGATCATTATCCAAATCCGCAAAAGGCACATCTAGAGGATAAAAGGTTTAAATTTATACCCAATATGCCTTTAGAAATCAATATTTAGGGGTCAATTTGCTACATACAAAAACCCAACAAATTGTTATTATAATATAGATCCTAATACAATCTCCAAGTCGATTGTTCTGTTAGTGACAGCGTTTCTGAAATCGTTGATGTAGTTTGAACCACAAATTGACATTGTAAACGTGTAAATAATTCCAATACCACCCCTGAAAACGTTAAGTTGTATTAATTTAGAATGATTTATTACGCACATAAATAACAATAATCAATACTATTTAACATTAGTACTCTAGTTTTATTATAGGGTACTGTTCCGCAGAGAGCCTATGATATATCGGATGAATCTTTCATTCAATATCAACATCGATAGAATTTTCTATTCGATAAAAATATTGAAGGTTAAATGTTGTGAACGGAGTATTTCAAACATCATGAGTGACTTTAAACCGCGCAAGTTTTATTTAGTCAGATAAATATACCAATGACGTGCAATTAATGACAATTTATCACTGACTCTTGACACTAAAACTACCTACGTACAGAGACAACTGCCTGGGAGCGATTGGTTTAATGCATTTGTGCCATGGAAGTAATACTGTGGTTTGTCGTGGTTTTTGGATCATCTCTGGTAAGATGTTATCTGAATTTACTCATATGTAACAATTACTTTTGTTAAATTTTCGTAACAATAAGTGTGTAATTAAAAAAATAGTTTATTACAAGTTTTTATTGTCTATATAACACCAGAAACTCGTATTTGAATTTTACTAAAAATATATTTAAAAAAAGTTTGTATCTAGTTTCTTTATCTGGTTTTATGAGAGTAGTTATGTAAAGGTCTGTTCGAGCGCAGGGTGAGGGTGATATCCCCCCAGAGCGGGTTCATTTTTTGGACTCGAATAACCTTCTAGAGCTGGTTTATTCCTTGGACTTGAATAGCCCCCCAGAGCGGGTTCAGTCTTTGGACTTGAATAACCTTCTAGAGCTTGTTCATTCCTTGGACTTGAATAGCCCCCCAGAGCGGGTTCAGTCTTTGGACTTGAATGTCTGGACTAAGACTCGAGGCACCCTCAGAAATTCAGAGAGCAGTCTTCTGCAGTTCTTTTTTATAGAATCCGCCTATAATTTCCTCGCCATTTTGATCGGCGGTTCTATAATTAACCAGTCTGGTGTTTAAGATTTATGCTTTTGTAAATATCTCTGAAGTCCAGTTTTGTTTATATTTATTGAATGTTGATCTTGAATAACCGTTACTCACTATGACGCAACATAGAATAGTCTAGATTGGAGTCAGACACGTGACTTAC